GACACCGAAGGCCTGTGGTGTTAAAGAGGTTTTTTACAGGCTGCGGAGCATGGCCTGTGCAGTCGATTCCTGGGGTTTGGGGGTCGGTTGATGTAACCTGTAAAAGAGATAGAGAATTTGGTCATTTGTACGTTAATCCAGAGCAGTGTGAAATAATGGGGTGTGTTCTTTAATGGAAAAAAAAAATATATATACACATATGTAACTATACAGTATATATATATATTTAAAACCTTTAACATGAAGATGACCTAAACCTGAATGTTCTTGCACAGCTATTTAAGGCCACATTCCTTGGAAAGCCCATTAATATTTCAAAGACAACCCCGAAGTTTTTAAAAGATCTTTTGTCCCTATTCTAAACTCTGGGAATCACTGGTAAAGATCATAATTGATGTTTTCAAGTTTTGGGGGAGCAGAGCCTTAATACTTACTAGTCTGATCTTCTTTTGTCTTGCAGAAGTACAAATATAATGTCAGGTGGCTGAAAACTTGTCTGTCAAAATGTCAAGTAAGTTGGTTTTCTTTGAGATTTTTCTTTCTTTAACTTGATGAATTAAAAGGTCTGGTCCAGCAGAACCTGTTTGGGGGATAATCCCATTATTCCTGGCAGTAAAAGAAATGATGGGAAGTGACCAAACCCTTGGCCTTAAATCCCGCTGTGGCTGATTCCTTGTGTATTGTTTTCATAGGAAATCCACATATCACAGCTGCTAAATCCTGTTTGGCTGCAGTTTTGCTTTCCCTCCCTGTAATCGGTCTGTGTGTAAATGGATTCCATATTCTCCAGGTTTCTGCCTGAATAAACCCAAGGATTAGGGTTTAAACTTTTCTGTCTTGTCCTTCTCTTGCGTTGCTTTTCACTCAAAAGTCTTTCAGAACAAAATTTCTGTCTTGTTTTTGTAAGTGGCTTGAGAACTGTTGGCCACAGCAGATGCCTTGTAAAGAATTCATTCAGATTTTCAAGAGAAAAAACCCTGTGCTTACATTTGTATCTTAACAGAAAGGCCATCTTATGCCCCACCTCCCACCCCAGCTCCTGCAACCGTAAGTATTGTCATTTTTCTATTAACACAGAGCTGCTAGAGCCTTTAGTGACCTCCCAGAGCAGTAACTGTGGAGTTGCATCACCTTCCTGTGTCAGAAACACAGCACTAATTACTGTGATGTGCATTGGTTAGATGAATCCCATTCTATTTTAAGCACTTCGTGAAAGAAAAGTTGAATTAAATCTGTGTCACCTTTACGGGTGGATCTTGGAGGCACTGAGCTTTCTGTCTGCAGTTGTCTCAGGTGATTCACACTGAGTTGCAGCAGTACTGGAGTAGTTAAGACCCAACTGATATATTTAATCCTAAAATCATGCCCAAATCCTGGGCAGATTCCATTTTCCCTGTTTCTGCTGTACTGAGCTGCTTTTCAGTGGGATGCAGGAATGTGCAAAACCCTCTTAAATGGGTCAGAACAATGAGTCTCTCCTGATCCAGTCCTGCATTCCTTGAAATCACTGATATGTTGGAGTCTAGGGCATGGGAAGCACTTCACTTCCTAGTAAAGTGATGTGGAATAACACTGAGGAAAACGTGAACAGGAGCTTTGGGCCCTGTCCACTCTCCTGGGTGTACAGAGGTGCTGCAGTCCCAGTGTGCTGTGGGCAGGGAAGGCTTTGGAAGCAAATGCTCCTTCCTGTAGTGGTCACATTTCTGGATACTTTGGGGTTTTAGGAGTAACATATCCAGATGGGCAAACACAAATCCTTTGTACAGAAGAATGAGCAAAGATGCCATAGGAAACTTTGTAACCACAGCAGATTGGGACACTGTTAACCCAGCAGTGTGTCCCTGGTCTCTGCAGGGTGGGATTTAGATGGAATGTGGTCCTTCAAATCTCCTGTGCCATTCTTTACATGTACAGAGGCCTGAAAATGATGCAATGCGTAAATACAAGTTATGTTTTGATAAGTTTACCTAAATAAAACTTGATTTGCCTAGCTTGCTCAGAGTTTTCATTTTGCACACAGCAGATAGATCTGTGCCAGTGCTAGAAGGAACAGGATGGATCCTCTCTGCCCACTGGATTCCTGCATGGAGAGCTGTGCACACCCCTGTGATCCTTTGGGATGTAGCATGGACACAGAAGGTGTTCTGTGGTTTATGTTGGTGTGGTGCAGAAGGGCACACGAAACACATCACAGCTGCACCAGTGATGGGCATTACCTGCCTTTCCAGCATCTTTTGTCGTATTTTGTGTTCTGTTTTATACAGTCCCTCAGGCTCTGGTCTGTGCTCTGATAATGCAAGTCACAAAGCAGCCAAATAACCTTGCTTGTTCCTCCACAGCCAGTTCCAGGTGCTGCAGCCACCAACACCCCAGTAGTTCTGGTAACTGCAGTACTGTAGCTGAAGTAGCAACTCTCCATGTGATGCAAGGGTGTTCCCTGGTAACACTTAAATCCTGTCTTGCAGAAATAAGGAGTTAAGCAGATGGAGATTACAGTTGTCACCTGGGTTTGTTGAAGAGGTGTAGTTCAACATACTCAAAAGCTCTTGTTATGGTAATACAAAACACTGTAGTAACATGGTGTCTTATGAGTAGTGAGTGTGTATGTCATGGGCCTAGGCACCAGAGGAGGATGTGGCCACTGCTGAGGCTGAGGGAAGAGCTTGGCAATGAAACCTCTGTTGGAGGCTGGGAAAGGAGAATTTTCCTCTCCACTTGGGTCTTTATTTCTAAACTCCTGCAGTGTCTGCACACACCTGAAAGTGCACAGTTACTGCAGTCAGCTCCCAGGTCACTTCTGTTCAGTGTCTGTGTTGTCACACTTTGGTTCCTGCAGTCCTGAACCTATTTGTAAAACTTCTGTGACTGTGATCTAGAACAGTCAACAAGTCCCTGTGAAAGACTCAGGATGTGTATTAGGACTATGGAAGAGTGAGACACTGCAGGGGTGGCACTTAAATGTGCAGAAATATTCCAGGCTCTCATGAATCCTCATGGAATCAGAACCACCACAGTCAGGACTTAATCACAGTTACCATTAAATAGCTGATCCATTTTTTTCCAGCAAAATTTGATTGGGAAGTGGGGGATAATGGGAAAAAAAGCTTTGTGTGAGAAAGGGAGTACAGGGAACTCTCTGAATCTTGAGTGCATGTAGGGGATAAGTGAGAAGGGAGTGTAAAGGAATGAGATTTTTCTCTCCATAACTGAGGTGAGAAATCAATTCAGTGTCAAGAGTGGGTGAAGATGTATTGATTAACTGCTTAATTGCCTTGGATTCAGTGATGTGTTCAGGCTGAGTTGCAGGGTCGTTCAGCTCTCAGCCTGCCTTATAGCAGAGGGATGTCTCTGGGTTGTGCCCTCTCAGCTTTCTAATCCCAGCTCCCCAGAACAGTTAGCTCTGCAAACCACAGGAAAGCTGAGCCCCTGGCAGTGAGGCACAGATGGAGCTTTAAGGGGTTTCCTCCCCCTGCCCCATTCACTGACAGGGTAATGTCTGTTGGGAAGAGAAGCAGCCAGGGATTGTCATTGTAAATGTGGACACTGGGGATTCCTGGCACTGGGTGCTGTGCTGCCCTGTGAACTTCACCCTTTGGATACAGGAATCCTTTGAATTCCTTGGTGGCTTATGGTGGAAAATCCATGAGCTGGATTTACAGAACACTTGTTCAAAATGAGTTACACAGCTAAGAGAAATAAAACCACCAGCTTCAGACAGAGGTTTGTAGTGACACATTTGCTTCAAGGTCCTGTTTCCTTACTAGGTGTCCACTGAAGTCAGTTGTGTGTGTTGGGAAGACACCAACGGCTACACCTCATTGCTTGTTGGAACTCTGGTTGCTTTTGCATGCCATATTGCAGTTCATTTTCATTTCTGTGTTCTCCTCGTTTGAGCTCATTTCTCATTCGTGTTTTTGTCTCATTTGTTTCCATCAGCAAATGCCCAGCACCCCAGGGTTTGTGGGATACAATCCATACAGCCATCTGGCCTACAACAACTACAGGCTGGGAGGGAACCCGGGCACCAACAGCCGGGTCACGGTAGGAGAATCAACTATTACATCCTCCAGCAAACACCAGGAGCTGACCAGAAATGGCTCTAGGGTTAGGTTCTTCGGAGTCTTGGCTGCTGCCACTTCTTTATATAAAAAACAACTTCTGATTCTCGTTTCTCCCCCTCTCCCCCTTTCCCCCCCTCTACTCTGAAACCTTCTGCAGGAAAATGAGCTTCTACTCAGCAGGGCAAATGGTAATGGTACATGATGCACAATTCCAGAAAGGCTTTGTGGTCTTCAGTGACCACTGAATGCACAGGGGAAGGTTCTGTAGCTGGGTATGAATCCTTGGAGGGAGGGAACTGCTCATTTTATTGAGGTTCATTGGCACAGAGCTCAGGAAGAACATTTTGCAAACTGCAGATCGTTGATAGTCGTTGCCTCATCCTGTTGAGCCATGAGAGAGGTGCAAGCCTGGATTCTTATTTCTAGGCTCAATCTGGTAATAGCTGCACAGTCCCAGGTTCAGTCATTATTTTTGCTACAAAAGTGTGGTGGTAATAAACCAGAATCCTTTCAGCTCTCACATCTGTCAGTGCGTGGGAAATGGATGTGGCATTCGTTTTTCATGGAGTAAACAGTGAGATGGAGACAAGTGATGAGGGAGGTGACAGCTTCTTTCAAACAGGGATCAACTCCTGAGCCTTGGATGATGCAGTTAGGAAATAAAAGTAGACTGGAAATGTAACATTTTCATAACACAACAGAAATAGAATAGATCCCTGATGCTTTTTTTTAAAAAAACCTCACAATTTTAAGGGCTTTCTTTCACATAAAACTGTGTACCCCAAAACATGTGACCAGTTTGGACCATGATAGAGATTTCTGAAGGGCCAAACACACAGTGTATTTAATGAAGTGCACTCATGCCTCTTATAAACCTCTCAGACTTCATATAGGAAGTTGATCTGATTTGTTAAAGCACTTGCAGAAAGGACCTTCCCCTCCAAGCTGGAATTGACTGTCTAAACAGACACTTTCCTTCCCCAGGACCAAGTCAAGTTTTGTCTGAGGCCTTCCATTGTTTCTGTATGTCACAAGCACACACAGCCTGCTCTGCCATGCATATACCAGTATATGGATGGTGTCTCTAAATCCCTCTTAATTTGAAAGCATTGAACAGTTTCCGTTAATGTTTTTCCAACCCATCTGTGTGTGTATCTCTGTATACATTCTGGTGATGCATATACCTCATGCACATTATTTACACACAGTTCTGTATGCATTGTTCATAGAGCTCCATGAAGTCAGCAGAACTAAAAGCTTAGCAAGAGGGAAAATTTGAAGCTGAATGTTGAACACGAATCTGGGCTGAATACAAATATTGATCTGTGGCCACAGCCCCGAAAGACCTTGAAACTTTTATGTAAATGCTCCCAATTAATATACCACAACTCCTGGCACGTGGAAATGCTGGAAGAGGGGAGAGTTTCAGCCCTGCACTTCCCAGGGGCTGATATGTCACTGCTCTGCTCTAGGAGCAAACCCTGCTGGGTGTCCTGTGGGGTGAGGGGACACGAGGGGAGGCAGCAGCTTTCCAGCAGCAGTTGGAGCTCAGTGTCCTTTGTGTAGCTTGACAGCATCAAAGCCAAAGGCAGACAGAGCACAGGAACATGTTACAGCCTAATTTGGACAATTAATTACAGCTTGGCTACAAATCAGTCACACATTTACAGCTCAGCTGCATAGGGTTTTCTTCTTACAATGAGTCTTTTAATTGGCTCCAAATTACCACTGACAAATTTTGCAGACAAATATATGGCTAAAATTATTTGACAAGGAAAATATATCTCACTTAAAGCTTTTGAACTTCCTCCTTATCTTTTTTTCACCTGTACAATACCCACATTGAATTTGCCAAAACAGGTAAAATAAATTGCTCACCAGAAGGGAGAAAACCAACCTGCAGGGATTGGTGTCTCCGTGTCCTGAGCTGGGTAGGTCAGTTGTAAGGGCATAGAGCCTTGTTGAGGATTTCTCTCTGCAAACTCCCAGAGAAAAGGGAATGGAAGTGATTCCAGTGAGGACCAGCTCTAGTTAGTGCCTGTTGGCAGTTTGGGTCACTTGGTGCTGTTGCTTGTTTCTCTTGTGGGGGGTGTGAGTGCACAGAGTGAGTGTTTCCAAAGCCAGTGTGTGTCCAGCAATCCCATTAACGAATGGATTTATCCGGTTCTCTTATAGGCTTCCTCTGGTATTACCATCCCCAAGCCCCCCAAACCCCCAGACAAGCCCCTGATGCCCTACATGCGGTACAGCCGGAAGGTGGGTATGAGTGTCCAGCCGTAACGAGTCAGTGTTCGTTTGTGCTAACAATTAATTGCTATGATCTTAGTTTCAGCTCCTAAACGTTGACTCCTAACAGCCTGCGCTCTCTTAAGGGGATGTAAAGTCCAGAGGCTGCCCTGCACAACAAAGGCAGCAGTAGCCTGGTCACACAGTTGCCAATTTCTGGGGGGAAAGTTGCTAAAATGCTAATTCCTCCCAGTGTCTCTGCTGACAAGGATCCACCCTGCCACGTCCAGGAGTTCCTGTGACTTACTGACAGAACCTTTTTATATAAAGGAAATATTCCTTGCGTTTTTCTGGGCTTGGTGCAGTGCTGTAGCTGGACTGAAGAGTAGCAATGAGTGGACTTTGCATGTTCTCCTTCACCACCCTCTCACCACCCTAGCCCGTGGCAACGTTCGCTTCGCTATTCTGTGAACTGTTTGACAGAAAGTAGGAGAGAGACTCTTGTGGAGTCTGGAATCTGATGGGGCATGGGGAGGGCATGGCAGCCTGGCTGAAGCAGGTGAGCCAGAAGGAATTTCTTCCACTCCTGGTAAAGTATCTTTACCAGCATGTCTGTCCTAGGCCAAAAAACATCATCACAAAAAGCAGTCAAGTGGCACAGCAAGAAATTACACTGGCAGCTCTCTCCTTTTTTTTTTTCTCTCTCCCTGTAAAGTTAGAAACTTTTTTTGGTGGAGTCAGAACTTGTTGGAACTCAGATTGATCAGCAAGACTGAAATGTTGTGAGATGTTACATTCTGACCTGAAAGGCTCAGTCTCTTTGTCATAACCTACTGCTGGATGTGTTTACTCAGTGGCAGTTTTTTTTTTCCCCAAGATGCAGCGATGTGCATTTCAGAAGAGAATTGAGAGGGGTAAAGGCAATGTTCCCATGAGGCCAAAGCCACTCAGCAGTTGCCTGGTTCAGGAGCTGCCTTCCTACTGACTTCCTGCCCCAGAAAATTATCCAGATAGCTTAGCCAGACTCGTCCCTAACTTAATCCTGTTTTTCATGGTGATTCCAGAAAGAACACTGAGATGACAATATAAAATGTGTAATTTGGAAGTATTTAGATATCATTAGTAAAGCTCCAGCTGTTTCTGTTAAGGTCTGGGACCAAGTGAAGGCGTCCAATCCTGATTTGAAGTTATGGGAAATTGGCAAGATTATTGGAGGAATGTGGCGAGATCTCACTGATGAAGAGAAGCAAGAGTATTTGAATGAATATGAAGCTGAAAAGGTAAATGGAAGAAATCTGGGATGTTTATTACAGCTGATTCTTCTAGGAACTGGTCTGAGAAGAAAAATTCATCTTGCCCGTGCAGGGGTGTGCGAGGCACTCCCGAGAGCTCTGTATGTAACTTAAATGGAAGTTTGTCCTGACACGTCTCTTAGCTTTTTTAACTAACTGTTCATCAACTGTGACTGGTCAGTTTTTAGACCTAAAATGAAGTATTTATAGTTGAGTGTCGATTTTAACTGTTTAATGAATGGATTTGATTGTACAACATCAGTATTGAAAAGATTGTCTCAACACCAAAACCCTCTTACAAAACTGGTGCTCTGCAACTACTGCTGTTGTCATGTGTTCATAAGAGACTTCCAGTCACGTGGGGTTTGGTTTTCCTGGTGGAACTCCACGCTGTGGCATAGTGTTTTGTTTCTTAATAGAAAATGTGACCCACTTGTAGGGTTTGCTTGTGCTTTTGTTGGGTTTTATGCATCTGAATGGCAAAAGGTGACAGCTGCCTCGTGTCTGGGTGGGTAAGTGTTGAGCACCTGCACAAGACTGTGATTCTGAGGTACAGAGGGAGAATTGTCCAGCTGCTGTGTTGTGCTCTCACCTGGCAGGCACTGAGGCTGTGGATACCTGCTCACATCTCAGCTGGTTTTATCCCAAGGCAGTAGAGAAGTACTGCAAAGCACTGCTGGGTGCTCTTAGCTGAACAAAAAAAAAAAAAAATCAAGGAATTCTATTTTTTACCTTGGTAACTCTGTTTAGATTGTAAGCTCCTTGGGGCAGGGGCAGCCTGGTGATACTTGTGCAGTGCTAGGCAGAAGGATTCCAGTCCTAATCATAAAACAAGACTTTCAGGTGCCTTTAACAATACCCTAGATTATATCTCATTGGAAATATCTCAAATCACTGTACAAAATCTTTAAAAGTGAGAGTAAAGAAAGCAATTCAAGGGGAAAAGGTGGTTCAAAGAAGGTGCAAATAGTGCTGCAGTCCTGCTGCCAGGAGGAGACAGGCACGTGGCTGCAGCTTTCCGTGTCATCCCAGAGCAGGGATGGACAAAGAGTGGACAAATCCTGAGTGATTTCAAAGCTGGTTCATGACAGTGGAATAAGGGAAGAGAAGAAATCAGAATCACAGCTCTAGTTAGAACTCCAGAGAATCATTGAGAATATTTTCTGTTTGCTAATTTTACCTTACAGAGTTTGGTCATAAATACCTCGTTCTGAGGTGTTTTGAGTCTGAAAGCTCAGCAAACAAAGCTGTCCTAAGTGTTTCAGGTAGTAACACTGAAACGTGCCTAAAAGCCCAGCTGTGTTTTTAAAACATGAACAACTGTGAAGAAGTTCTAATGTGTAACAAGAAAGACTGAGAGGATCTGCTGATTTGTGCCTCAGCCAATTCAGAGCTGCTTTGTCTGTGTAACTGCACTTGGAGCTACACAGAGCACAGTTGTGTCGGGTGGGGAAATCGTCCAGTGGTGCCATCAACCCCTGTTGGTCACGTTTCAGATCGAGTACAACGAGTCCATGAAGGCCTACCACAACTCCCCTGCCTACCTGGCCTACATCAACGCCAAGAGCCGCGCGGAGGCGGCGCTGGAGGAGGAGAGTCGGCAGAGGCAGTCGCGCATGGAGAAGGGGGAGCCCTACATGAGCATCCAGCCCGCGGAGGATCCTGATGGTAAGCTGGAAGGAGCTTGTGTGCACATCCAGTGGGACAGGCTCATGACAGGATCAGCTGGAGAGACAGAAACAACTCGTGTGCACCTTCCACAGCGCTTGGCGTGGCTTCGTGTCTGCTTTGCTGCCTTGTTGGTCTCGCCTTCTGTTTCACACAGCCAGCTGCTCGCTTTGGGGCCAAAACTAAGGTGGCAAAAGTGATTCCAACCCTTCCTAATGAAGTGTGAAGTAATGCTTAGAGTTCAAACCCAATCACTCTGCCCACAGCTCTGTAATGGCTTTAGCACCTGTGTTATGAAAGGCTTAGATGCCTGACTTAAACCAGCTTGGATGGAATTCAGTGCCTTATCACCAGAAGCACATAAAGCTGACAGGCAGAGTTCTGGTGTGATTAAGAGCACCTGAACTTTGAATGTGCTCAACAACTGTCACTTGAGATCGTTCAGGGAGTTAAGGTGCCGCTCAGTGCTGACAAGTTGATGAGAAGATTCAGTGAGTTTATTTGAGTGCGAGGAAATGCACCCCACCCAGTGGGAAACTGCTCACACGCCTCATGGCTGCTCTTAAACTCGTCACCAAATGCTTGTTGAAACCTGAGGGTGAAAAATGTACTCAGTTACACCCTTTTTTTTTTCCCCCTTCTCCCTTGTAAAAGCACATCCTTGAGATAAAGCTCATGGCAAACAGCGCTTTCCCCTGTGTGAGGTAATTGCAAAATTTATGTAAATGTCTTCAGTGTTGGACTAACTGGAGCTTGGACACTTGAGACTCTGTTCTGTGCTGCCTGGGCCAAAGCAGAACCAGCTATTCCCTTTTTCCTTACTTTAGTCAGATACTTCAGTGAGAAACTGAGCACAACACTGTAATAAAGGAGACAGAAACTTGGATTTGGCTAATTCTCTTCTCTGGTAGTGTCTCCTGGCTTGGTGTTAGGCATCTCCTTAGGACTTCTGTGAACAGCTGGAGAATCATCTCCATTAGGAATACTTAATGTAGGATAAATTCAGCTTTAGGACTTTCCTACACATCATCATTGTGGGACATAATTCATACCTGTTGCTTAACTGGCTTCTCTATAGAGAAATACATTTACTAATCAATAATCCAATACTCTTGGAAACTACAGTTTTCAGTGGTGAGTGAACAGCTCCATGCTTTGAGCCCTCAGTGTTTCGAAAAAGTGAGTGGTTTTGATCTCTGCTACCAAGGTTATTGCTAGAGGAGTCACTGTCCTGCTGGCAGTTTTTTCTGAGAACATGGTTAGTCCAGAATGGTTCTTTTATTCGGTGTATTAATAGTCCCTTTCAGTGTGGAAATGTGGAAAGCAACGCAGTCACTAACTGGGTCAGTCCCAATGTGGGAAGTGCATGTGCCATCAGCTGTTAGAGCTGTGCCAAGGTGAATCCTGCTCCAGTCGCTTTGGCTCTGATTCCTGATGCTCTGTGTGTGCCACTGTGAACTCTGTGACATGGCAACAATGCTCTGTGGGTGCAGCGTGGTCTGACCTGGGGCTCACTGCCTGGCACTGAGCTCCCCCCAACTCCCGTTGCAGACTACGACGATGGTTTCTCCATGAAACACACGGCCACGGCGCGGTTCCAGCGCAACCACCGCCTCATCGTGCGTCGTGCCCGACGTGCGCTCCGTCGTCACCTCACCGCCGATGCAGGTCCTCAAGCGCCAGGTCCAGTCCCTCATGGTGCACCAGGTAAAGGGGAAAGGCTGTGGCTCAGGCCCCGTGGGCTGGGCTGGGCTCCAGCTCTTGGATCGTTTGAGCACTGCATGACTGTTCTTGCTGGGTGTTCTCTGTGCTCCAGGGGCTGAGCCCTGGGCTTGCTTGGATGGGAGACTTCACCTTCTGGGGGTCGTGTTAAACTGTATTTTGTTCTTTAGTCCTTAGGATTTAGTACTTAGAATCGTAGAACATTAAGGGGTTGGAATGGAGCTTAGAGACCATCCAGCCCCAACCCCTGCCCTGGACAGGGACACCTCCCACCAGAGCAGGTTGGCTCAAGGCTTTAGCCAACCTGGAATGAACACTGCCAGGGTTGGGGCAGCCACAGCCTCCCTGGGCAACCTGAGACAGTGTCCTGAGTATTATTTCCACAGCTCTTCACTGTTACACACAACCCTCTGTGCAGTGTAAGTGCTGGTTAACTGGTGCAGCTGTGATTTTGGGTACCTGACAGCTCATAATCTTGTTTAGAACGATTCTTTCTTGCAGCAAATTGTCCCTGTTGTAACATTTTTCATCGGAAGTTAAATTCATACAAGGAGATTTGGTGAGGTCACACCTGCACCTTTCACCCAGCTTTGAGCTCATGCCTCTATTTTCCAAACACTCATGACCAAAAGAATTCTGTCAGCATGGTCAGTGTGTGTGTATAGCTGAAGAGAGACCAGAGTTAGAGAGATCAATCATAGAATCAACTGGGTTGGAAAAGACCTCCAAGATCACAAAGTCCAACCCTGCTGTGGTTACTAGACCATGGCACAAGTGCCCCATCCAGTCTCAGCTTGAAAACCTCCAGGGATGGGGAATCCACCACCTCCCTGGGCAGCACATTCCAATGCCTGAGCACTCTCTCCAGAAAAAATCTCTTCCTAAGATCCAACCTAACCCTCCCCTGGCAGAGCTTGAGTCTGTGCCCTCTTGTCCTGCTGCTGGTTGCCTGGGAGAAGAGACCAACCCCCACCTGACTCCAACCTCCTCTCAGGGAGTTGCAGAGGGTGAGGATGTCTCCCCTGAGCCTCCTCTTCTCCAGGCTGAACACCCCCAGCTCCCTCAGCCTCTCCTCATGGCACTTGTGCTCCAGTCCCTTCACCAGCCTCGTTGCTCTGCTCTGGACCTGCTCCAGATGTCTTGGGGGTTTTAATTAACAGAAGATTTAGAGGATGGAGGGTGGTGGTTTCCCTTCTTTCCCCTGAGTTGTAGTTTCTATGTTAGAGAATGTAATTGATGTGGGGAGTGTTGTACCTGGGGGTTGTGTGTATATACCTGGGGCTGTGTGTATCCATACCTGAGAGGTGCAGAGTAGGAAAGAAAATCTCCAGATTTGGTGCAGGAAGCTTCACCTCAGGCACACAGTTTCATTCCCAAGAGGCCTGAACTGCTGCACAGACCATTTTCTGCTCATGCTTTCCAGTCTGAACCTCTGAGCTGTTGGGTGGTCAGATCAAGGCAGGCAGAAGGATGTTTATGTATGAAATCATAGTTTAAAAACTACCCCCCACAAATCCATCTGTGCCTAGCTGTGAGTGAGCAGTGCTGAGGTGGCTGCACAGTGAGGCTTCGCTGTCTCTTTCGCTTGCAGCGGAAACTGGAAGCTGAGCTGCTGCAGATCGAGGAGCGGCACCAGGAGAAGAAGAGGAAGTTTTTGGAAAGCACAGAATCCTTCAACAACGAGCTGAAAAGGGTATAACCCACTTTCCTCACTTAACTCTGAGCAAGCTGCAGGTTCTCCACTGGTCCAAGTGCTCTTTTCAGTTCTGTACCCAGTTCTGTGCAGTTGCCCAGCTGCTCAGGCAGTTCCCTGATGCTCAGGCAATGTCCTGGGGTGGGTGGTACAAAGCACATGGAGTTGGGCTGATTTCCTGCTCTTTCAGTGCCCTTTAGTGGTGACATTGGGCCAGGACAGCTTGGAAGTGCCTCCAGGCTGGACGTGGTGAGTTCCCTCAGAGCAGCTGGAGGAGGGTGGCCTAAAGCCACTGTGGAGGGCACACTGCTCTCCTTGGCTGTGTTCAAACAACAAGCTTTGGGTTGTTTATTTACTGCCCCCTCTTTTTGTGGTTAATATACCTGTATCTCCCTCCCTAGTTACTAAAGCTCTTTGTCCACTCAAAAGGACTGTGCTGTGTGTAGAAATACTGAACTCATCACTGGGCTTTACTGATGGTTTATTTCTCAGTGCCATTGAGGTAGTAAAACAGCTTTCCTTTCCTTTCTTTTGGTTTCTTTTTAATTGCTAGTTATGCAGTTTGAAGGTGGAAGTGGATATGGAAAAGATTGCAGCTGAGATTGCCCAGGCTGAGGAACAGGCTCGGAAGAGGCAGGAGGAGAGGGAAAAGGAAGCAGCTGAGCAGGCTGAGCGCAGTCAGAACAACCTGGCAGCTGAGGAGGAGCAGGCAGCCAGCAAGGTGGAGGAGAAGAAGGAAGAGGAGAGCACTCCCATGGAGACAGGTAATGCATCTGAGCACCAGCTGCAGAGTGCTCCAAGGGTCAGCCCTGAAGGGTCTCTGAGCAGGCTCAGCTCAGCCAGGAGAACAATTCAGTGCATCTTGGGGAACACTTGGTTTGTTTCCTTCTCATTAAATTACTCCTTTTATGCAGGGGAGGGGGTAGGATCCCACAGAGCCCCATGTGGTGCTTTGTGGGTGAGATACTCAAGGGAAAAAATGCTTTCTAAACCTAAGTTAGACACTGGTTAACTGGGAGCAAGTGGGAGTGTTTCCTTGTCCCAGTGTCAGTGTCTAGCAGGGATGATGGAACAGCTCTGCTTCCCACACCACCCTCACAGCTTTGTGCTCTGGACAGTGACAGTAGGAAATACTGTTGGATTCAGGGGTCTCTGGCTGGTACCTCAGTGAGTCACTGCCCTAAGAGCAGGAGCATGAGGGAGAGGGGATCAGGGAGTTTGGATTCCAGTGCTTCTGCTTTAGCAAGGCTCTCTTGTTGCTGGTATTCTGAGGTCAGGTGACATCAGGATGCTGTGTGGCATGCAGAGGTCCCTGAGCTGTGCCTGTCACTGTTCTAAGTGACAGAAATAACTGCTGTGGAATACTCAGATTGATTACAGCTTCTCTTTCTTCCTAAATCCGAAGTAAATGTAAATGACCCTGAGAAATATCCTATTCCAGAAGAGCCTCACGCGGAAGAGAGCGCAGAGAACCAGCAGAACAGTGAAGAAGGAACCTCCACCCCAGAGGACAAGGAGAGTGGGCAGGAAGGGGCAGACAGCACAGCTGAGGAGGGAACCAGTGACAGCAACACTGGGTCAGAGAGCAACAGTGCGACCGTGGAGGAGCCTCCGGCAGATCCCAGTGCCGAGGAGAGCGACAAGAAGGAATAGGCACTGACTCTGTGCTTGTGTGTCTGTAATGAAGTGCTGTGTGATTTCAGAGCCTGCTCTGTGCTGTTGTACCCTCCCTGCCTCTGGGTTCTCCCTCCCGAGGTTACTGGGCTTTAATGGTTATCAGTGGACAGGTGTGAAGAGGCTTTAGGGGCTCAGGATGTCCTGCAGCAGCAGAAAAGAAACCTCATGTGTCTAAACATGACTGTTTCAGCGTGGAGAGGGCCTTGAATCACTTGTACTTCTTCCCTAGGATAGATTTGACTTTGGTTTATATGAGAAATCAGGTTTTCTCCCTTTCCTCTGGTTCCATGGCCACAGTGATAATGGTAGCATTTCCCAAAGGCCCTTCCTGTCCCTGTGTGGTGGCAGTGAGGTGCAGCTGTGCCCACCTGTGCTGCAGCACTGACTGGCACAGCTGTGCCCACCTGTGCTGCAGCACTGATGTGGTACAGGAGGCACCCACTGCCCCTGCCCCTGGCACCAGGGCTGGGTCTCTGACCAGTGACTGCAGGCACTGACTTTGTGGAGAGTCTGGAGTGTCACTGAGATATTTAAAGCTGATGTTTGTATGGAGCAGAGACCTTCTGCCTGCCCAGGGTGTCACCTGGAGCCTCAGAAATGAGGGTGAAAGACTGGGGTTTAGGGTTTTCTGGTGTAAGTGTTGTTTTTCTAGAGCAGCTGCTCTGCAGTGATGGAAACTTGCTCATGATCTGGAGATCCATTTCCAAAGGACTCCGCGTAATCTTACAGTAAATGACACATCCTGAGAGATTTTTTTATGTGGTGCAGGATTCCTTCCAACAAGCCTTTGCTTTTTTTTTACCAATTAACTCCTTTATTTGCTCCCAGGAGTCCCTGGTGTGGCCTCAGCCAGAGACCTGGCACAGTGCAGAGCAGGAGAGTGAACATGCACATGTTCTCTGAGCAGACAGTCGCTGATATGGCACAAATGGTAAAAAGTGATAGTTTTGCTTGCCCTGAACTTTCAGAACCTCTGGGAACTCTATAAATGTACTGAAAAGGCCACAATTTGCCCTGTATAAGCAGAAGCCCTAATGAAAAAAAGTAGACTTATTTGTAACAGCAGCCACAGGTCACTTCTTGGCTTTCCAGCTGAGGGAACAGGTGATGCTTCAATGTGTTTTACAGAGCAGTGAGTCTGTCAGGTGGTGTTTTTTAAATCCTTTTGGTCTTCTTTTTTTTTTTTTTTTAACTGATCTGAAAAGAATAAAATCCAACAAGTTTGGTTTTTGTAAACTCACAGTGGTCTGTGCTTGTCTTCTAAAGTGACACCAGTGTTTGGTTCAGAGCTTTCACCAGCTGTTCCCCATCTCAATCCAGAGGAGAATAAACACCTGGGGTTTGATTGCTGCTGCTGCCTGGCCTGGGGGCCTTACCCCCAGGGGCTCAGGTGAGACTCCACACCTGAGGTGCTGCAAACCCTGGTTGTGCAACAGCTTTTCTGTGCAGCAGCCTTGGGTTCTGCAGCCTGGTGGTGCTTTTCATCTGCTCCAAATTCTCAAGGTGTATGTAAATAACTCATTGTTGGCCAAGACAGGGTGTGTGAAGCTCAGGGCGTGGAGCTGAGGGAGTAGGTGTCATCCTCACGGGTGAAGTAACTTCTCCAGGCACATGAGAAGCTGAAGGAATGCCCAGCAGGCAGTGTTGGAGCACTGACCAGCCTCGTGGTGCCTGGCAGAGGTGCCCACGAGGGATAGGAGCATCAGGGACCTGGTGCAGGAGAGGGAACAACCTGAGACACCTGCCTGGGGAGGAATCCACTTCTCCACCAGCCCCTCAGCCCCACTGGGACCAGGAGCTGGTGCCTACCTGACACCCCCAGCTGTTGGGGAACAACCACCTGGAGCTCCTGTGCCCACCTGCAGCCCCTCAGCAGGGCCTGGAGCCCTCCCACGAGGGAGATGGAGCAGATTACATGCCACCAGCTTGTTATGCTTTGCTGCTGGGCTCGCTGGAAGAGGCTCTGCTTTCTGGGTGTCTGTCTGGCATGTGGGTGTGAACTGCAGGGGCTCCTCCAGCTGCCCTGAGTGTCCCTGAGTGTCCCCAGCTCCTCAGGGGGCTCAGTGGGTGAGGTAGAGATCAGGGTGCAGCCACCCCCATTGGGGTGCTGAAAGCTGGAGAGTCCCTCACACCCCTCAGGGACTGTCAGGGAAGCAAAGGGGCAAATCCCAAACCTTTTCTCACGTGAGGGAGTTGTTTACTTGGGCTTGTTTTTCTCCTCCAGAAAACCCAGGGAGTTTCGGCTCTGACATCACCAGTGCTGCTGCTGCTTTGCTCTGCAGGCAAAGGTTCTGAGTCCTTCTCCAAAATAGGCTTTTATCTCACCACAAAAACACTCAGGAAAAGTTTTTAAGGAGCCTGAGTTAAAAAAAGAACTGATCTTAAAGGGGTTTGGAGGGGGTTTTTGCATTAGTGTAATTACTAGATTTTATCATCCCCCAAAACTTCTGACCTACAAAGCTGGGATACAGTAATGGGTACATAGCAGGGCCCAAAGGAGGAGTGTTGGAAGGGATTTAGGTGCTAAAACGTGAAGCAGGAACCTTGTGAGGCTGCTCAGAAGGGATTCACCAGGTGAACTGAACCCAGAGCCTCCATGAGCTCCACACCTCAAATCCCACCCAAACCCCTCACCTACAGGCAGGGCTGAGCTTAGCTCCCCGGGAAAGACAAAAGCCTCGTGTTTGTGCAGCAGCAGCAGCTGAACTGTCAGAGGAGAAAGAAAAATGTTTCTGGAGAAACTAAACAAGGATTTGAGTGAAAAATCACCTGTGCATCACCTGGGCAAGTCTTGCCAAGCTGCTCTGCCTGGAGCCAAACGAGGCCTCAGCTGCAGCCTCTGCTTACAGAGAGGATTATGCTGGTGATGGAAAGAAATAAGAGAGATTAATGGAGCTTTACAGGGATAAAATATCAAAGCAAACCCGAGTGCTGGCACAGGGCTGGCTGGGGCAGCTCGTGCGTGTCCAGGGAGCCGAGCCGCGGTCGGAGCGTCATGGTGCAGCTCAGGGAGGAGCAGAGACCTCATCCCCCCGACCTTGGGGGTGTCAAGGGAGCAGGTCCAGAGCCACTGAGGGATGGAATCCATAGCCACACGTGTGGGGTGATGAACTGGGACTGAGGGGGGTCCTGAGAGGGAGGAGGTGTGGGTGGGCAGCACAGGGAGCAGGGTCAGACCTCACCCTGTGCTGACCTCCCTTCATCCTCTCAGCTGCCAAGTGTTCCCAGGCAGTGCCAGGGGCTGGAATATTGAGGGAAAGCACCCAGCTGGAGGTGGAATTGGCACAGGTTTTGTGCTGGCAGAGGTGTGTGAGCTGGAGCAAGTGCTGCCACCAGGAGTCCCCATTAACCTGCCCAGAGAGGGACTGCAGGGAACACACAGTCCTGCCCCGAGTTGTAAGTTGGGAGGAGTTCTTACTCCTTCCTTGTACTATATCCAGGCAGTGCCAACCAGCAGCAACAGCATTCGTGGTAGCACATCCTGTGTGACTGCTCGGGGCTTGGAATGACATAGCTAGCCCAGCTGTGAGTTTGACTCTCACCTGGGAGCTGCTGGTTGTACCAGCTCAGAGGGTGATGTGGTTGTACCAGTTCAAGGAGTGATGTACCAACTCCAAGTGTGATGCAGCTGTACCAACTCCGGGTGTGATGTAGTTGTACCAGCTCAGGGTGTGATGTACCAGCTCAGGGTGTGATACAGTTGTGCCTGCTCAGGGTGTGATGCAGTTGTACCAACTCAGGATGTGTTGTATCAACTCTGAGTGTGGTGTAGTTGTACCAGCTCAGGGTGTGATATAGTTGTACCTGCTCAGGGTGTGATATACCAACTCAGGGTGTGATGCAGCTGTATCAGCTTCGGGTGTGATGCAGCTCTACCAGCTCAGGGTGTGATGCAGTTGTATCAGCTTTGGGTGTGATATAGTTGTACCAGCTCAGGATGTGATGCAGTTGTACCTGCTCAGGGTGTGATGTATCAGCTCAGGGTGTGATGCAGCTGCACAGTGTGATGCTGCCAGGTCACTCACCTGCAGCAGCTCTCCAGGCACCTGGCCACAAACTGCAGGTGCTGTGCTGCAGAACTGGGCTTCAGTCACACCAGGCAGTCGGTTGGGTGTGATATAGTTGTACCAGCTCAGGATGTGATGCAGTTGTACCTGCTCAGGGTGTGATGTATCAGCTCAGGGTGTGATGCAGCTGCACAGTGTGATGCTGCCAGGTCACTCACCTGCAGCAGCTCTCCAGGCACCTGGCCACAAACTGCAGGTGCTGTGCTGCAGAACTGGGCTTCAGTCACACCAGGCAGTCGGAGGGGCTGGAATTGCACATGTTCTCCTGGGCAGGCACACAGCAGGTCCCAGTTCCATTCAGACCATTGCAGCCAGGACCGTTTGTGCCTTTGAGGAGCTGCAACACCTGGTCAAGGCTCTGAATGCTCAGTCCAGGGCTTGGATCCCTGGCTTTGGGGTGTCCCTGTGCATGCAGAGTGCTACTGACAGTGACTGGCAAACCTCTCCCACTGGGATTTGCACTGATGACCCTGTGGATCAGGCACAGGATCTGCCCCAGGCCTGTGTCACTGTTTGCGCTCTCAGTTCCTTTCTTTCGCTTTGACGTTTCTTTTTCCACGTCTTCGAGGGGTTTTTTGAAGTGGTTTAGCAGATAGCAGTTTGGTGTCTTATTTTGTTCTAAGTCCTCACATATATCTTCACTTGTGACTCCCAAAGTCAGTACTTTCTGTCAACAGGCAGTTTCAATTTGCTTGATTCAAACAATTCTGTTAGAAAGGCAAGAAAAAGCAATTTGAGTTCTGGCACCAGTTTCGGGGTGGGGAGAAGCCAAACCAGAGGGAGTGATAGTAACAACGACAGAAACTGAGTGAAAAATCACATTATCCTTTTATTTTATTACTATTTTTTAATCCCAGGGATGAGAAATGCCACATCTGTGACTGAGAGGGCTGTATGCAACCTCTGATG